GGTTCCCGCCCCGCCCCGCCTGCCACGCTCTCCCGCCCCTTCCCAGGCGTGAAGGCCAAGAAACCCATCCAGACCAAGTTCCGGATGCCGCTGCTGAACTGGGTGGCCTTGAAGCCCAGCCAGATCACCGGCACTGTCTTCACCGAGCTCAACGACGAGAAGGTGCTGCAGGTGAGTGGCCGGGACAGGGCCTGTGTGAGTCCGCTCCGGGTGGTCATGCGTGGGCACCGGAGCTTGGGTCTCAGCTCCAAATCCGAAGGGTAAGTGGGCAGAGGCTGGGCTGGGTCCTCCTCCTTCTTGGGCTTTTCCTCCTTGCTCCGGGAGGGTCCTGGTCTTGTTGGGGGGCTGGTTTGTCTCTGTGGCGGCTGTCAGGGACAGGCTGGTGGCTCCGGTTCCGAGCACACAGTGCATTGCCAAGTGGGCCAGCCCCAGCCCTGCCCACCTTCTCTGGCCCGCAGGAGCTGGACATGAGTGACTTCGAGGAGCAGTTTAAGACCAAATCACAGGGTCCTGGTCTGGACCTCAGCGCCCTCAAGGGCAGAGCCACACAGAAGGGTCCGAGCCAGGCCATACTCATCGAGGCCAACCGGGCCAAGAACCTGGCCATCACCCTGCGCAAGGGCAACCTGGGGGCCGACCGTATCTGCCAGGCCATCGAGAAGTGAGTGCCACGGCCCAGCTTTTCTTTCCAGACCCAGATGTTCCCTTCCTGTCTCTTTGCCCAGCAGTGGAATCTGGCGAGGGCTTCACAGCGGGGCATCTGGTGCTGACCTGGAGGGGAGTGGACTCTGCCTTTGTGCCCCGAGCACCAGCCGAGGTCGGTTCAGTCAACAGAGAGATGGAGTCGGAGCAGCATCCACTTTCCTCTCCCCCGCAGGTATGACCTGCAGGCTCTGGGGCTGGACTTCCTGGAGCTGCTGACCCGCTTCCTGCCCACGGAGTACGAGCGCAGCCTCATTGCCCGCTTTGAGCGTGAGCAGCGGCCGCTGGAGGAGCTGTCGGAGGAAGACCGCTTCATGCTGCGCTTCAGCCGCATCCCGCGCCTGCCGGAGCGCATGGCCACGCTCAGCTTCCTGGGCAACTTCCCGGACACCGCTCAGCTGCTCATGCCGGTGGGTGCAGGGTGGGCAGCGGTGGGGTCGCCAGGTGGGCCGGGGCTCCGACTCATTTCCCGCACCCTTTCTCCAGCAACTGAATGCCATCATCGCAGCCTCCATGTCCATCAAGTCCTCGGACAAACTCCGCCAGATTCTGGAGGTGAGCACCCCACAAGGGGTCAGGCGGTGGCCACTGTGCCTGTCCCGGGAGTGACAGGGACCGGGCTCCCACTTGTGACACAGACGCCCTGCTGCCCGGCCTCAGGGTGCTGTGTCAGGGGAGGTCCTGGGACAGTGCAGGTGCTCGTGTTTGGTTATTGGAGATGGAACCTGGGGCCTTTGAGCACCAGCTGCCTTCTCAGTCCTTTTAAAAATCTTTTGTCGTGAGACGGAGCCTCTCTAAATCGCTAAACTGTTCAGGCTGGGCTGTAACGCCCACCCTCCTGCCTTAGCCTCCTCCCAGTGTGCCGGGATGGCAGGTGTGCACCGCCACACCTGGCTAGAGACGGCTGTTAGGAGGCCAGCGCCCTCACAGCTCGGGAGGTTAGTTCTGGTTTGGGCTAGCACAGGCTAGAAGTGGGTGTGCCGCGACGTGACCCTGCACACACACCGGACCCTGTACGTGTGTCAGGGAAGCCAGGGGTCAGCCCCGAGCACAGTGGGGTCGAGTGGGGCTTGCTGCCTGAGCAGTGTGCTCTTCTGTGGGCTCCCCCAGCCCTGGTACCGTGCTGAGTCTCCCTCTGACCTCCGCAGATTGTTCTGGCCTTCGGTAATTACATGAACAGCAGCAAGCGAGGGGCAGCCTACGGCTTCCGGCTGCAGAGCCTGGATGTGGTAAGGAGAGGAGTTGGCCCAGGAGGGGAGGCGGCCGTGGCTGGAGGCTGACACAGGCCCTCCCACAGCTGCTGGAGATGAAGTCCACGGATCGCAAGCAGACGCTGCTGCATTACCTGGTGAAGGTCGTTGCTGAGAGGTACCCACAGCTGTCCGGCTTCCACGGCGACCTGCACTTCCTGGACAAGGCAAGCGCAGGTAGTGGAACCCAGGTCTTTGGCAGGTGGGGGCTCGGTCAGTGGCCCTGGGGTGGTGTGGATTGGGAGGGACAGGGAAGCCTGGGGTGCGAGGGAAGGAGCCAACCCCCACTCCTCACTGCCACCAGTGTCCCTGGACAGTGTCCTAGCTGATGTGCGCAGTTTGCAGCGGGGCCTGGAGCTGGCGCAGCGCGAGTTCGTGCGGCAAGACGACTGCACGGTGCTCAAAGAGTTCCTGAGGGCCAACTCACCCACCATGGATAAGCTGCTGGCCGACAGCAAGACGGCCCAGGTGGGAGGCTGGGCGTAGGGCGCAGGAGGCGGGGTGAGGCCACACCTCGGGGTGCAGCAGGAGCTCCTTGCCGGTGGCTGACGGCTGGACTTGCAGGAGGCCTATGACTCCGTGGTGGAGTACTTCGGGGAGAACCCGAAGACCACGTCCCCTTCCACGTTCTTCTGCCTCTTCAGCCGCTTCACCAAAGCCTACAAGGTGTGCAGGGCTCCCTGCCGGTCCCTGGAGCAGGCGAGAGCCGGAGGGGAGGGCAGCAGGGGGCCGCCCTCACCCCATGGCTCTGCCCCTAGAAAGCAGAGCAGGAAGTGGAGCAGTGGAAGAAGGACGCAGCTGCGCAGGAGGCAGGGGTGGACACCCCTGGCCAGGGAGAGTCCCCTGCACGCAAGGTGGGCGGCTGCCCAGCCTGGGCCTGGTTGTGGGTGTGGCACCTCACCGCCCTGTCGCTGTCGGGAGGAGTGGGGACCGGAGGAGGCACCAGGTTCTGACCCGGAGGCCCCCAGTCTCCACTCAGGGCGAGGCGCCAGCAGATGGACCTCATCTCGGAGCTGAAGCGGAAGCAGCAGAAGGAGCCGCTCATCTACGAGAGTGACCGTGACGGTGCCATTGAGGACATCATCACAGGTGGGCTGGGGCCCGTGCCAGCCCCTGCACTGTGCTGCGCTCACCTTAGCAGGGTTTTGCCTGCCTCTGCCTCCTGCTACTGTCTTTCTGTCCTTTTTCCTGTCTGTGCCTCATGCCTCAGTGCTCAAGACAGTGCCCTTCACGGCCCGCACGGGCAAGCGGACGTCCCGGCTCCTCTGTGAGGCCAGCCTTGGGGAGGAGCTGCCCCTGTAGCCCAGGTACCTGGCGGCCTGGGAGCAGAGTCCAAGCCTGCCTGGGCAGCGTGTGCAGGACACGGGGTTGGCCAATGTGCAGCGCCCTTTCCCGTGCATGCAGCCTGATCCTGGTGGGTGACCCTGGCCTGGTGCTGGGTGGCTCCTGAGCCCCTTACCCCCTGCTCCAGATCTGCGGAATCAGCCCTACATCCGAGCGGACACAGGCCGCCGCAGTGCCCGTCATCGACCCCCGGTTCCTCCCCTGCAAGTCACCACTGACTTGGCCCTGTAGCTGCCTGGAAGGTAGAGGGGCCTCGAGGACGGCCGGCCGTAACCTCGAATGCTGCTCAAGCACCCCGACCCTGAGACAGCCATACTCAGCGGGAGCCTGGCCTGTGACTTGTGAGGTCACCTTGCTGGCCTGGGCCCCTGGCCCCAGGACTCTCTCTGAGCCTTATTTTTATAAGAGATTAATAAAGATGTTTGCAGAAGACCCGTGTCTGCCCCTGTCTGGCCCTTCTCTGTCTGTGTGTCCCTCTGGGGATTCCTCGGGGGTTTGTATGTAGAGCAGGGGTCAGCCCCCTGCTCCTGCCCAGCTCCCTGGCCACCACCCTCTGCAAGGCTCTGTCCCATTTCCTTGGTTCTGCTCCCACGCGTGCCCACCTGCTGGTGATGCCCCATCTGTGGTGCCGCCTCTGCACCGCCTGCCTGGCTCCTGTGGCAGTCCCTGTCCTCAGGGCCTGGAGGGAGGGAGGGCGGGGCTAGGAGGTGCGCCCCCCAGCTCCAGTCAGGACAGCACCGCCGGCCTCTCCTCCCTCTCACGGACCCACACAGCACAGGAGCCCCTTGTGTTTGGCCTGGGGCTCAGAACCCTGACCCAGAACACAGGGCGTTGGGTTTCCTGTGTGGAATGGGCTCTGCCTGCTCCAGGGAGCCTCACTCAGGAGGATTCACTCAGTGGCAGTGTTTAGGGGCCATGCGTAGGGATATCGATCAGGGCAGGCCTCCTGGAAGAAGGGGCTTTAAAAATAAGACACCTATCATTCTAGCTACTGGGAAAGCTGAGGCAGGAGGATTGCAAGTTCCAGGCCAGACCAGGCAACTTAGACCTCTCAAAAAAAATAATAAGGGCTAGGGGCCGGGGATTTAGCTCCGTGGTTCTGCTGCCTGCCTCTGAAGCACAAGGTCCCGAGTTTGATCCCTGGTACCAAAATAAAAAGGGCTGAGGATGTCGCCCAGTGGGGAGCTGTTGCCTCCTATGAAGCCTAGGCTCCATCTAGTATGGTGAGCAAAAAACAATGCCATGGCCCTGTGGGCATCAGGAGAGCGCTTGGACGTCAGAAAGGATGCCTGGCACTGTCTGCCGTCGGAGGCCCTCACCACCTCCGGGACCAGCCGGAAGCCTGTACTGTGCACGCAGTGCACTTCCTGCCGCTCGTGTCCACAGCTTGCGCATCTGGAGGCTGACGGCAGTGGCCACAGCAAGGTGGGCCCATGTGGGACTCAGCATCTGCCCCGGGACACCTTTCCAAGCGCAGCTGGGTGCTCAAGCCCTTGGGCCTGGTGGTAGCAGGAGCTGAGGGCTGCTGCCCATGCAGAAGGTGACCACTCTGTGAGTGCTTGGGAGGTGGCACTCCCCCCGCCTGCATGCAGGGTAGCTGGGAATTCTTTCCTCCTTCCTTTCCTCTTTTCTGTCCTGTCCACGTACCCACCACCTGAACACCTTTGCTCACGCTGCCCTGTCGGCAACTTCACGTCTTGATATTCACCCTCGCGGTCAACAGTGTGAGTCCACACAGAAACCCGCACCTGTGCTTACAGCACCTTTACTGTCGGTTGCCAGAACTTGGAGCAGCCAAGGTAACTTCAGCCGGTGAGCACATAAGTGAACCGTGGTTCATGCTGGCAGCGGAGCAGCGTCCAGGGCTAGGCAGCAGTGAGCTACCTCACCACCAAACGGCCCAGGGAAACTGAACAGCTGCTCCTGAGTGGAAGGAGCCAATCCGAAAAGCTAGCTTTGGAAAAGCAAAGCCAGCGCAGAGGGGCTGGGGCAAGGAAGGGTGGCCAGGGCGGCGAGGGCAGTCTGTGTGACTGCAGTGGAGGTGCCCATCACTGTATCGCTTGCCTGAGCCAGTGGGAAGCTGGACCTGGGGCTGGAGGTCAGTGCTGGGCACTACCTCTGGGGCAGAAGGCTGTCAGGGCGGCTGTGCGGACAGGGCAGGGAGTTGGGGAGCTGCACTTTTAGCTGTCTTGCTGTGCCCCTTACATTGCCCTAAAATATATTAACACCAAATCCAGAAAGACCCCAGCACCTCTTGGGCACCACACCATCACTCCTGGTGCCCCTGCAGCCTCCTGCTCTCTCCCTTCCACCCTGCACCTCTTTTGAACCCCACTTCCTGGTGGCTGGCACCTCCTGTGCCCCTCCCAGGGTCTGGGATGCACGCAGCTGGGCGCCTGAGGCCCACAGTCGGTCGGTCAGAAGTGCACCAGGGACCAGGTGGCCTGTCCTCCCCCCACGGGGCACGCCTATGCCCCCCGGGCATACACTGCTCCATGCCACCTTGCCTCGGGCTCCACGGCCAGCCTGAGCATTTGCATGTCTTCCACGTGATTCCAGCGGGCACACGAGTGCCCTGGTGTGTGTGCCACGAGGTTCCTGTGTGTGGATGCACCGTGTGAAGGCTAAGCGGACTGTGCCTGTGAGTGGGCTCTGGGAGAGCACGCACCACTGCACACGGGCTCCTTCCTTGTGGTTGTAGAGACTGAACCCAGGACCTTGCACTGAGTGACATCCCACCCTTTTTTTTCCAGTACCGGGGATTGAATTTAGGACCTTGTGCTTACCAGGCAGGTGCAGCACCACTGAGTGACATCCGTGGCCCTGCAGCTTTTTCTATTTTGAGAATGGTTCTCATTAAGTTTCCCAGGCTGGGCTTTAGCTTGAGATCTTCCTGCCTCAGCCTACCACATAGCTGGAATGACAGGTGTGTGTCACCACACCTAAGCTTCTTTCCTGCATTTTGGGTACCTCTGGCTCAAGGCTGTGCCTCTATGGAGGACCAGTCTCCAGACCAGTTTCTTCCTTCAAGCACAGAACACTGTTAGGCCTTTCCCACAGAGGGACAGGAAGGACTCTCTTCAGACTCATGAGCCGAGTGTGTCCCTGGCTTTGGGCCTGAGAAACTGGAGGCTCAGAGAGGCTCCGTGGCTTTCCTGGGGGTATCCTGTGTCTTCCCGGTGCCCGGGGATCTGGCTCGGTGGTGCTGAAGTGACTGCTAGGGGAGTGAGCAGGGACACATGGCCAGGCACAGGGTGGGTCAGGGAGCTGAGGACAGCGTCATCCTGGGAACCGGCCAGGCGCAGGGCCGGCTGAGTTCCCTGCCCGAGCATCCGCAGAAGGCTGAGCCCGGCCAGCACTGGAGTCTTTACTGTTTCTGTAGTCATTTCTCTGGGTTGGGGGCGGACGACGTCGTAAAGTGGATTTTCAGCAATAATGGGTTCCCTTTCTTGGTTCCTGGCACCGACCTGCAACACAAAGGGACAGACAGGGTCGAGTGCGGCCCTGGCACTCTGTACTGCCCGCCCTGTGTGTCACTGGGCAGGAGCGCCGGTTCCCTCTGCTCCCAGAGCAGCACTGCACACCCAGTCCCTGCCCTGGTGCGAAAGAGCGCACCCTGCTGGCCCAGGCCTCCATGGCTGCCCTCTCCTGGGCCCTGCACTTCTGTTCCCAGAACCTTGTTTCCATGGCCTCTGTGAGGTCACTGAGGCCAGGGTGCTGCCCCGCACCCCATATTCCACCAAGTCCCTCCGCCGTCCCCAGCCTGCAGCAGGGCTAGGGACTGCTGCACTCACTCTTCCTTGGCTCCCTGTGGCTGGGGGCGTGTGGCCGTGGCTTGGAGAATCTTCATCTCTCCTTCGACGGTAGCACCGTGGAGCCTCTGGCTGCTGAAGTCCAGGAAACAGTAAGGGCTGCTCTTGTCTTCCTGACCCCTGGCTTCTGGCGGTTTCTCCAGCAGCTCCTGCTTGTCTGTGGCAGGCTGGACGGGCCCGGGTGGAGACTCCACAGCCTTCTGGGAAGGAGCTTTGGTCTTGGGCCCCAAGCTGGGTAGGTCCATGCAGCTGGAGGGGGCCACAGCCAAGGCTGTCGCAAAGTGGACCACCTCTACCAGGCCCATGGCTTGCGGCGGGGTGCCAGGTGGCAGCTGGGTCCTTGTGGATCTGGGAGCTGGGTGGGTGCTGGGGACCTTGGGAGGCTTCTCAGATGCTGGCGCCAGGAGTCTCGTGCCCTGCCTTCCCGATGCCCGCAGCAGACTGTGCTCTGACACCTGGACGAGCTTGTCAGCCCAGAATAGGTGCTTGGAGGTCTGGGTGGAGCAGCTCTTGGGGCACACTGGGGCCTCCTCCCTGGTACGCTGGTGTCTGTGGGTCTGGGGCTGCCTGGAGCTTCCGTGGCACAACACCAGAGTGGTCACCTTCCAACCTGGATCCTTGACAGGCTCGGGCTTGGGCTCGGGCTGCCGAGTTGGGCATGGTGATGGCTCTACCTCCAGGCTCTCCAGTTCCGGGACTGAGTGTGGGTCTGGCTCCTGAGCTAGCAGTTCTGTCTTCAGCTGAAAGGTTTCAGCTAAACACTGTAGGGGCCGAGCAGGGTAAGCCTGCCCTGCCCTGTGATGTCCACGCCCCTTCGGAAACCCTCTCCAGGAGGTGGCCTGGTCTAGGGTTCCCAGAACATCAGGAATGGGAAGCAGGGCTCCAAGGGGCCCTGCGCCTGCCACCACCCCCAGGGAGGTGACCCCACGCTCACCTCGATCTTGTCTTCCTCCTGTGGCACCTGGGCGTGGAAGTCGCAGTGGGCAAGGCTGATCCTGAGACAGAGGAGTCAAGATGGATGTGGGAGTCCACAGGGCCGTGGCATCGAGGCAGGGCTCCCCTCCTCACGCAGGGCTGGTGAGATGGCCTGGCTCCCACTTCCCGAGGAGTCCTGGGGGTCTCCTCCCCAGGAGCCCTGCGGTTTCCTCTGCTCCCTCTGCAGAACCTGGGGCTCCGACGGGGTGGTGCTCACCACTGCGCCTCACCCAGCCAGTTTTAGAGCCTCACATAGCTCAGGACCCCACATGGAGCTGGGCAGCTCTTCCCCACCTGCTCAGCAGATTCGAGCAGAGGTGAGGCCCAGGACCTCTGCTTTTGTCAAGCCCTGGGGAGCTGATGAGGCTGGTTTAGGGAGCTGGTGTCCAGAGAGGCAATTCCTGCCCATCTGGCTGCCACTCCCATCTGGGCAGACGCAGAGAGCCGGCAGGCACATGGACGTGGGGCCCCGCTCCTGCCCTCAGAACTCCTCCCAGATGCCCCACCTGCCTCAGAGAGTGGTCCCCTCTCAGGCCTCTGCTGTGCCGGAACCTCACCCCTCCTCACCTCGGGGAGGGACAGACAGAGGTGTGACGCAGCCCCAGGCCTGGGAGATTTGGAAAGGGGCAAAATGGAGGAGGCCCTAGGTGTGGGGTGCAGGATGATGGGTCCTGAGCGTGGGGCCCTAGGTGTGGGATGTGGGATACAGGGTGCTGGATGTGCAGGGTGGGGCCCTGGTGAGGGGCTCATTCTCACGGGGGCTCCAGGATCTCCACCGCCTCCTTGCCGCAGCAGGGGAGCATGCCGCCACCTGGTGGGAGAAGGAGGTGAAGCGGGGGCTGGAGCAGGGCCCAGCTGCCTCCACTCCTTGCCCCGGCCCCACAGTCACCGGGCCTGCATGCCGCCTCGGCCTTGTCTGGCTCTCTGGGACACAGCGCCGGGCCCAGGTTGAGTCTGCAGTCCTCTCTCCCCTGATGGAGGCTTCCACAGCCCAGACCAGGAGGTGTGAGTCCCTCGGATTTCACAGAATTCAGCGCTCAGGGCTGTTGGATGACCTGGGCAGGGGGGCGGCGGATGCTGCAGACCCTGGTCTCAGGGCATCCAATGAGGATCTGCCGCTGCAGAGCCCTGCCGGAGAGTCTTCCTCATCTCTCCAACCCTGCACAGCTCCGGGATTGCCTCCAGCCTCCGATCCAGTGACCCGAGCGAGGCCCAGGCTGAGCCTTGCATGTCTTGCTGCTCCTTGTCCCCTGTGGTGGGTGAGGCGGCCCGTCCTCTGCTCCTGCGGTGGTGCACTGGGGATGGTGGTGGTCGTGCAAGCTGAGTCTGAGCGAGTGGAGGAGTCAGTCAGAGGCACCCAGGGCCCTGGAGTGGGCTGCTTCTCCTTGCTGAGTCGGCCCTGGATCTTGGATGGTGAGTGGCGAGCCCTGAGGACCGCACGGCCGAGGCCCGGGACAGGAGCTGAGTCCTGGATCCCACCCGTCTTCCGCATCTCTAGCTGTTTCTTCCAGCCTCTGACAGCACAGCCTTCCTTGGCTCCCTTCGAAGTCTGATCAACACCTCGCCTCAGCCCTTCCACAGACAGCAACTGGTCCAACTGGAGGAGAAATGATTCTGGCGAGAGCCTCATAGCAGCCCTCAGGGCTGGAAGAAAAATTTGAGGTTGACTGACCTGGGACAGGACTCTGCCCCTGATTCAGGAGTGGTCTGATGTGGGTTCTAGTGATGCTCCGTGATATATGAATGATTCCAATTTCCAGATGTTGCAAGTATGTAGAAATATATTAATCTTGTATCTCACAACCATGCTAAACTATTATTAGTTCTAGAAGCCTTTCTTTTTTTTGGGGGGGACCCAAAAGTAGGGAGTCCTTTTATACATCCCTAGTCCTTTTATTTTTGAGTGTCTGGTTCACTTAGGCTGGCGTCAGATTTGCAGCCCTCCTGCTTCAGCTTCCTGCTTAGCTGGGTCACCGGTGTGTACCACTGTGCCTGGTTCTAGCGGCTTTTAGAGGAATATATACCCACAGCTCTACGCAGACTTCCCAGTCTGCTCTCTCTTGCTTTACTGCACTGGTAACCACCTCCATACAGTGGTGACTAGGAGGGAGTGGACATCCTTGCTTTGGGGACAAGAGTCAGCATTTCAGTTAAGCATGGTGTTAGCTGTAGGTTTTTTTTTGTTTTTTGTGCAGGGGGCGATTGAACTCAGGACCTTGCACTTGGAGGCAGGCAGTGGCACCGCTGAGCTAAATCCCCAGCAGGCTGAGGAAATTCTTTCCTGGGGGGGAAGGAATGTTGGTGGAATGTTTGCTTAGGTTTTATCTAGGGATGTTGAATTTTGTCCAGTACATTTTTTTGCATTTATTGAGATAATGTTTTAAAAATTTTGTTAATGTATTGTATTTGTCATATATATGTTGTAATACATTAATGTATGGGTAATATATTATTCTGCTAATAATTCTGTTATGGTCTGCTAATAATTTGTCCAAGGTGAAGTACATGGATTTTTTTTCTTTTTTGTTGAGACAAGGTCTTTTTCTCTGCAGCCCAGGTTGGCCTTGAACATCAGTGAGCCTCCTGCCTCAGCTTCCCAAGTGCTGGGATTATAGACGTGAACCACCACACCTGGCTAAATGGATTTTCTTAATGTTAAATCAGTCTTGCATTACTGAGGACAAACCAGATATCCTTTCTTATACTTTGAAATCTGATTGGTTAACCTTTCACTGGAGGGTACTGGGGATTGAACCTGTCGCCTTCACACAGAGCTACATTCCCAGCCCCTTTAAAAAATTATTTTTTTTTCAGGCATTGGAGACAGGGTCTCACTATGTAGTTGAGACGGACCCAGAACTATGTAGCCCAGGCTGGTCTCGAACTCACAGTGATCCTTCTACCTCAGCCTCCCGAGTGCTGGGATTACAGGCGTGCACCACACACCTGATTTAAAAAATTATTTTGAGATAGGGTCTAACTTGCTAAATTATTCAAGCTGGGCTCAAATTTGTCCCAACTCTCCCGGAGTCCTGGATTACAGGTGTGTATCCCACACCAGGCTTGGCTAACTTTCTTGGAATTTTTGCATATATACTTATGAAGTCTGTTGGTGCCTAGTTTTCTTTTATTGTAATGAGTTTTTCAGATATTGATATGAGTAACGCTGGTTTCATAGAATGACTTGGAAGTATGCTTCCTTCACTTAAGTAATTTTCCTAATGGTGGTAGAATTCACAAGTGAAGGTTATGAACTTGGGCCCGGGGCTTCTTTATGGGAAGACTGTCAGTTACATATCTAAATTTAAGAGCTGCGTGCACTCAGGCATGGGTAGCATGTGTAATCCCAGCACTTTGTGAGGCAAGAAGATGGTAAGGGGCAACTGAGACTCTTGTCTCAAAAAAAAAAAATAAATAAAGGGCTTGACATTAGCTAAGGGTGAAGACTCTAGGTTCAATACTTAGCACCAATCAAAATCCACACCCAAAAATTCAGATACAGGGCTGTTTTGGCTATTTCTTCCTTTTTCTTTTTTTTGGTCCTGGGGATCAAACTCGGGACCTTGAGCTTGTGAGGCAGGCGGCGGCACCACTGAGCTAATACCCAGCCCTATTTCTTCTTCTTTAGTGTGGTAAAATATATATAACACAAAGTTGACAATTTTTAACTTTTCTCTCCTTCTATGCACTGAAGTAGGGAGGGTTAGTGCAGGGCCTGTGTGTACTCCGCCACTCTTCCACTGAGCTGCTCCAAAGTGTGCAGTCAGGGCAGTGAGTCCATCCACACTGCTGCTCACCCATCAGCACCATGCAGCTCCAGGTCTACTCTTGGTTTTGGCGTTTTTTTTTTTTTTTTTTTTTGTACCGGGGATGGAACTGAGGACCTTACACTTGCAAGGTAGACAACAGCAGTACTGAGCTAAATTCCCGGCCCCAGGGATTTGTTTTTTGACACAGGTCTCACTACGCAGTTCAGGTTGGCCTCAAACTTACAATGTAGCCCAGGCTGGTCTTGAACTCACTGCAATCCTTCTGCCTCAGCCTCCTGAGTGCTGGCATGACAGGTGTGCGCCATCACGCCCAGCAAGAATTCCTCTATTCTTGAGTGAGCTTTTGGAATGATCTTTTAAGGAATTGGTAAATTTTATATAAATTGTCAAATTTATTGACCTAAGTTGTTCATAGTGTTTCCTTATTATCCAGTTCATATTTGCAAAATCTGTAGTGATAATATCCTTTTTTTTTTTTGGTACTGGGATTGAATTCAGGACCTTGCGCTTGTGGGCTAAATCCCTGGGCTCACCAATCTTGATATTTAAAAAAGTAAAAATATGGATTAGAATTTTGGGGAGGTAGAAGGAAAGCAGGAAATCTGAAGAGAAAGGCAGAAAGGCAGGGGCGCTAAAAATATTCTTAGTGTTTAAAAGTGAAAAATAAAAATCTAAGTATATTCAACTTAGAGAGGGCCAGCAGGCCGGACCCTGATGAAGGTGAGGTGGGCACAGTGGACGCGAGCAGGTGAGCTCAGATGGTGTGGTATGGGGCACAGCACTGTCCAGGGAGCAGTGGTGGGCTGTTTGTGGGGACCCTTGGTCTCTGTCACCAAATGAGCTGTTCGGACACCAGCCACCTGCATGTGCTCTCCGAGAGAGCCTCAGCTCCAGGCAACAGGCTGCCAACAAACCCAGCCCCGCCCAAAACCACTTCGGAGCTTCTGCCTCCTGTTCTCCTTCCGTCTTCGCTCTAGACCCACACTCCAGCCGCTTCCTGCACACTCTTCCTTGAAGGGACTGGGATCCGCCATGTTCCGCGCGAAGCCTCCCGGCTGTGTGCTGCCCTCCCGACTTGCTCCTGGTCTTGTCCTGATGACAGGGTTCCTGGGTTCGGAGGCTGTGGACCCACTCACCACAGAACCCTGGGGCACATGTGGGTCCCTCTGCATCTATCTCCAGCAGGGCGTCTGGCCCAAGCTGGACGCTCAGCAAACATCTTTGTAGAGAAAATAAATTCTTATGCTTTTTATTCCGCCGGACCCTGGGCTTTATTTTAGATTTATCTTTTTTAAAAATTTGAGACAGGGTCTCACTAAGTTGCCCAGGCTGGGTGAGAACCTGCAGTCCTCCTGCTTTAGCCTCCAGGGCTGGGCCTGGGCCATCACATCGCCTTCACATTTCTCACCCCTGGTCTGCATCCGTGCATCTGGACTCCAGCAGGGTAACGCAGCTCTGCGCCACAGGTCTCCCTTGCCGGTCGCTCCTCTCGATCCCATGCTCCCCAGCTCAGCCTTTGTCTCTCACTGACACGGGGAACCCGAGTGTCCACTCTGCAGCCTCTGACCTTCCCATCTCAATGCCGACCTTGGATGCTCCCCGGCCCCTGCCCTGCCCCTCTGTCCCCGTACCAGCGCCCACCCAAACTGGGCCTCCTTCCATTGGGGCCCGACACCCCTAGAGAGCAGTGTGTCGCCCCTACAAGCAATGCCTTGCTGACTCTGCACCCTGATGCTGACCACTGTGCTGTCTGAACCCGCTCAGCCTCCAGCCAGACCAGGGTAGCCACACAGCCCTCACTCCCGCTTCTGGCCAGGCGACTGGGTGGCTTGAGGTGCGGCAGGTCCCGCCTCAGCCTTCTTCCACCTCATGGGGTCCGGCCCCCACCCCGCCGCGTCCTGAGCTCGAGGGCCCCTCGGTGCCTCCGTGTCTTTGGGTCTTTCTTACAGCTGGAAAGCAAAGTCCTACTGGCCTGAAAATCTGACTCAAATTTCCCGTTTCCTCTTCCGATAAACCGAGCCGCCCAACCTCAGTCTGGACTCAGGTTCCGCCCCGCCCAGTGGGCGGCAGATCGCAGGACTGATTTAGTAAGGCCCCTGTGAAGGGCGGGGATCTGGCTCAGTGGTTCTGCCGCCTGCCTTGCAAGCGCAAGGACACCAAAAAACAAAAACAAAAACACAACCACAAAAAAATCCCTGTGAACACTGGCAAGCACGAGGCTCTGGCGGTTGCTGCCAGATACATATTTAATGCTGGCCCCAATACTTCAGAGAGATGTCCCAAGAAAAAGCCACTTCAGTGGTGGTCCGAGGCCCTCTGGAAGGAGCAGCTCCGGCACAGAGGCGCGAACCCACTGGCGCAGGGTTCGGAGGGAGACCTGCCCCTCCCGCAAAGCTCTAAGCGCCGAGGCCAACTGGATACGATTTCCCAGGGCACAAATCCTTGTATCTCCGACGGCAGGGGACACCGCAGGCGGTCACGGGGCTAGCAGGGGCCTATCTGGGGTCACCCCTGCCGCCCTTCCTCTCCGCCACAACAACGCCCAATCCCCCCACCTGTGCGCCCCACGTGGGCGAGGCTGCGTCCTCCGGGCCGCGGGGCGCTGGTTGGTAGCTGCTGCCCCTCCGCCTCCAGGGCGCTCTTTGGCTGGGGGAGGGGGGGTACCGGCACCTGTGAGGCCAGCCTCTGTGACGTCCCCGCCGCGACCCTGCCACCACCAGGGACATCTGTACATGCTCTGGGCACAGGGCCACTGCCCAGCCCTCCAGGAACGTGGGGGGGGGGAGCTGAGAGCCGGGTGCAAGGCACCCTGTGTGGCTGGCCGGCTGCCAAAAGGTCATGACCCTGTACAGGCACTGCCTGCACCCCACCTGAGGGCCTTGGGTACCCCTGGGAGTGGCCGGCTGTGCCCCTACACGGGGACCTCAATACCCACGACAGGCTCAGGTGGGCCAGAGATGCCTGAGCTGAGGAACTTGTCAACACCCACATTTTATTCCTCACAGTTCTCTGCAACCTACACACTGCAGGGCTGTGGCCCCTCACAGCTGAGCCAGGGCTGCTGGCTGAAGCAGGCCAGCTCCACAGGAACAGCAGGACAGAGGCCAGCTCGGCTTGGCTTGGGACAAGTGTCTCTTGATTCACAGTTGATTTAATGCTACATGGGTCCTGGGCGGCTCTGGGAGCGGGGGAGGTGCTGGTCTCGTGTGGAGGGTGGTGAATGGTCACCGGCCATCCCACCCTGGCCTGCTGTGCCACACAGGGCCACCGTTGTTCTGGTGGCAGCCAGGAAAGTGCTTGGAGGTTATGAGAGTGCGAAGTGCAGCTGGCAGTGGCCCTCCGTGCCAGGGGCAGGCAGGGCAGCGTGAGTGGATGCTGGCAGGGAGCGGGGTGTCTGCACCTGCCGCTCTGCGGTGCGGATCGCACCCCATCTGTGCACCACCTGTCACCCTGCACGTACAGACGGGAAGCTGAGTGCAAGGGGCCAAGCACTCTGGGCAGCAGCGGGGGCCAGCGGCAAAGGGCACCTGCTGAGCCTGGGACCAAGAACCAGTTTCCTTGCTGCCTTCTCGGGTCCTCGGCTCAGCTGGAGGTCCACTTGGGACTGTCGAAAGTGGCAGTTCCCCCAAGGAGCTTTCACAGGCCAGCACCCCTTCCATTCTCCTCCACGCCAAAGGGGCTGAGGCCAGGCTGGCCAGGCTGGGGGCTGAGGCTCCCACGAACCCAAGGCCAGGCTCATGGCTGCCCTGGTCCGGTGTGACCCGGCTGTGGGCCGCTGGGCTCTCGCCCACTCCTTGCGGCCCTCGGCACGAGTCCTCCTGTCTCCACCTCCTCACATGGAGTGCAGGGCGGGCGGGTGAGCAGCCTGGGCGGCAGACCCTGAGCAGGTTGAGCTTGTCTCGGCAGCACCGGGCACCGAGGAGGACGCTGCTCTGTCAGCGCAGCGGTGGTGGCAGGCGGGGCTGTGACCTGCTCTCCAGTCGGCCGTGCTTCACCCGCCAGCTCCAGGCAAAGCTGCCATCAGGGGCCAGGGTGCACTGCAGGTCGATGCCCGAGTCTGGCACCTCCATGTCATAGCGAACGGGTTGCCCGTCTTTGGTCACCAAGCTGAAGGCTGTGGCTGGGATCTGGGGGTGGAGCAACCGGGGATGGAGTGGGCTCAGCAGTGCGGGGCAGTGTCGAGCCACGGCTGCCACACTGGGAAGGGCCTCCCTCCAGCCACTGGGCATCCTAGGCTCTGTCTTCCACTTGGGAGGCCTGGAGAGTGCTACCCTGCCCCAGCCTTGCAAGTCTTGCCCTGGGATGCAAGGGCAGTGGAGGTCATGTCTGCTCCCTAGCGTGGCATTCCAGGGTTTTGAAAGCACCTGTCTCTCACCTGGCTGCTGATGCCAGTTGCGATGTCTCCCACTTTGACCCGGTGGAACTCTCGGATATGCAGGTGCTCCCCGTTGAGAGACTGTATTTGGACTTTCACACCTAGAGGTGGGCAAGGCGACAGTGAGCTCATGAAGCCCTTGTCCCAGCAAAACCACAGCATGACCCATGGGCCCAGCCCGAAAGCTGAGAGTCTGCACACTGTATTCCTCATCTCTGACCTCCTCCTGGGAGGCAGCCAACAGACTTGCTGCCGACTTCCGGACTGCAGTGCTCAGGGGTTCAGGGGCTGTGTTCCTTTCTTGTCCCCTCAGAAGACATTAACTTCTCAGTGTCTTGCCTCTGGGCCAAGAGAGACCGCTCCCCTCCCTAGCATGGGGGGTGCTAGGGGTCCTTCGCCACCCCGCCACCATTTCACTATCAGGGACCTCACCCTCTGGGCCCCAAGTGTCCTCCCCGTGAGGCACAAACCCTCCGTGACGCCCCCAGTCCCAGGCTGTACCATTGAAGTAGCTGGGGGTGTCGGCAGGCCGCCCCCGGGCCAGCACCGTGCTGTAGCTGGAGCTTCGAGCCTCTGCCTGGCTGCCCCACGAGTGGACACCTGAGCTCAGGGTTTCCCTCGAGCTCTGAGAGGCCTTTGATGGGTTCTGAAACACAGAGTGGGCTCAGACTCAGCCCTTGGGCTCAGGGGCCGTTCCTGGCCTTATCTCCTTTGGAGAGAAGGGGCCTGGGTTTGCCCGAGTTGCAGAGGGCAAGGCCTGTTTTTGTGGGAGCAAAAGCGGCTCCGACCTCGCCAGTAGCTAAGTCCCTTTGTTTCCAGGCAGCTGTCTCAAGCTGGTGACCCACAGCCCGCTTCAGTGAGGACCAGGGAGGGGGTGGGCTCCACCCACCACTGCACACAGCCCCTCCTCCAGCTGACCCACCTTCTCACTGCTGTCTGACAGGGAGAGGCTGTCAATGCTGAGGCACGAAAGAATCTGCTCTTGCTCCTCCAGAGAGAAAGGCTGGGACAGGCTGTTCAGAAATAATTCTGCAGGAAGAGGGGAAGAGGGTTGACAGGCTGGCGGGCACCACCACATGGTGGGGTCCAGCTGGGGCAGACCCGAAGGGAGGGCCAAGGGGAGTCGGCCGATGCAGGGATGCGGGTGACGGACTCTTGGGCAGGGCACAGATGGCTGCCCTACCTATCTCCAGCTGCTGCAGCTCCAGGTCAGGGAAGGTTGCTCTCCGCTCCTGCGAGCTGGAGCTTCTGGCCGGGGCTGGGTCCAGGGAGGACAGAGGCAAGGGTTCCCAGGGGCCAGAGTCCTCCTCGCTCAAATGCAGGGTGGGAGACTTCTGCTCTGGGGGCTCTGGTGGCGGTGGTGGCTGAAGCTCCGGGGCTGGGCCTGTGTCGTCCTCCGGGGGTGAGCAGTCCTGCAGCTGGGCGTGTGGGGGCTGGGGGCAGCCAGCCTGGTCTGGCGGGAGCCTTGGCTCCTTGTATTCTCCCCTCCAGGGGCTCTGTAGACCTCCCACTGTAAGATAGCAGGGGGAGGTGGGTGTGGCTATCATGCAGGACGCAGTGCCATCTCCTAAGGAGCAGCTCCAGCAGCAGGGTGCATCTGGATCCCACTTTCCTTCTATTGTCAGGAGCAACTCCAAAGTACAGAATCAGTTCCAGAGGAAAGATTTAAGATAGCTCTGGGGCTACAGACAGCTCAGTGCCAGTAGCTTGCCTTGCTTTTGCAAAAGCCCTGGATTGGGTCCCAGCACCGCAGAAACGAAGCGGTGGCTGAGTGGCAACACACCCCAAGATCCTGCACACACCTCTCTCACCACAGCCCCTGGCTCAGGGCTTCTGCTGCTCAGCTCTGTGTTGCCGCTGCCACCTGCCCTTGGCCTGTCTTCCGTGCTGTTTATTCCTCTTCCACCGCTATAACCACTGCCTGTCTCTCCCTAGGGTACCTTCTACTGTGTCCCACATGTCAATTTGATTTGACTGCATTTGTACAATGTGTTTTCATTGATCAGGCACATTGCATTCTGGGTCTTCTCCTGTTGGTTCCTCCTTTCCCTGAGCCTTGTGGCTGCAGACCAGTCCCTGTTGCTCTGCAAACATCGCGTGGCTTTTAGTGTTGGTGGTGTCCCACTTCCCTCTCTGCTCTCCAGCGGGGAGGGACCCTGATTGCAGCCTACATCCTAAGGATGGCAAGCACAGCCACAGGGTGTCCCCTTGGGGGCCGGGTCCCAGGAATGCAGCCCGGCACACTCTTGCCCGCAGTGCCCAGGGGTCCTACTGCTCCCAGCTCCATCAGCATTTGCTGTGTCCCTGTCAAGTGTCTCCTGGTGTCTGGCTTTGCTCTGCTCTCTGACCCTAATGGATGTGACACCCCCTCCCCCACGGACCCAGCACCCTGTATCCCAGGTGGAGACGCCCTACCCCACCCACCAAAGAGCAGCCAGCCTGGGGCTCACCTTGCTGCAGTGCCCCACACACCTTCCCTAGCAGCTCCCCGGCTGACGCGCGGTGGACAGGCTCCTTCCTCAGCCCCTGCCGGATGGCCTGGGCTGTGAGAGGCGTGCAGGAGGCTGGGATCTCCCTCACAGGCGGAGGCTCACGGGCAATCTGGGGGCCGAAAGACAGCATTTGGAGCCTGTCTACCCTCCTGCCCAGAAGGCCCAGCACCCAGCCTTCTGCCCTCCCACCGACGCTGAGCTGGCGTCTGCCATGGGACTGGAGAGGTCTGGGTGGGACTGGAGAGGTCTGGGTTAGAGCCAGGGCTTGACTCCTCCTTGAAAGGGAAACAAGGAGCCAGGCAGCGAGATGCCCGTGTTCCACGGCCTATTGGGAGGCTGCTGGAGGTGGCCCCGGTCATGGGCAGTCCTTGGACTCCCAGACTTGGGTGGCAGGCTTTTAATAAGGATCTGCAATTTATGTCCAGGCTTCCCGTGGCACATGCTCTCTCAACCTGCAGCACCGGCCCAAGGCCCACGTGCATCCCAGCCCTACTGCCCTGGGCACCAGCACTGACCTTGAGGCAGAGCGGCCCCCGGAAGTACTGGGTCCAGGGGTGGCAGCCGTTGAGCATGTGCAGCATCATGCAGCAGCTGCTCCAGATGTCCACCTTGGTGTCGCAGGGCTTCCCCAGAACCACCTCTGGCGCCATGTGGGTCTCTGTGCCAGGGATGTAGTCCCCTGAGGCAGGGTGAGCGGAAACAGCACCGTGAGCATGGCAGGAGTCTGCTGAGGCCCACTCCTGTCTGCAGCTCCTGCAATGCTCTCAGCTGACACACTTCACATGAAGAAAGGAAGCCTCTAAGTGGAGCCCAGCGGGACAACTGAGCCAGCCTTTGGGGAACAGGGGCAGAGCATGTCTCAGCTACAACCCTCATGGGGATGGGCTGGATGCTGACAATCTGGTTGAGGAAGACCACTTACTGCTGTGATGTTCAGGGAACACAAGTGAAAAAAAAAAAAAAACAAACCACCAATAGCAAAAAATTATACGCATTAGTCTACAAGAAGAGAGAGCAGATGTTAACTATACTTTTCCTAGTGGTTTGTGTTCTAAGTTTTTGCTCAGCTGTACTTTCTTCAAAAGACACTAGAAAAACTTGAACCAAAATACTAAAAAACCCACTAGCGCTATTTTAAAAGTCAGGTAGGTGCTCAAGTCAGTTTGTATCTCTAGGACCTCAACACAGCCCTTAACGGCACAGTTATCAGGCTCACATCCTTGCTGAAGTGCCAAGGACCAAGGTGCTCTAGACTTCAAATTCTTTCAGACTGGGGACAGTCCCATGTATACAGTGACACACCTGGGGGACAGGCATACACAGGGCACTTATTTATGTGTCATAGACACCTTCCACACAGTCCAAAGTAATGATTTTTCGAGTGCCTGAGTTCTGACTGTGCAGCCTGTCATGAACTCAGGTGTAGAATTTTCCACTCATGGTATCGTGTTAGTGCTCAAAAACTTGCAGATTTTGTAGCATTCTGGATTTCCCCAGTAGGGATGTTTAACCTGCACTTTTTTTTGGTACTAGGGATCAAACTTGGGTCCTTGTGCTTGCGAGGCAGGTGGCAGAACCACTGAGCTACATCCCTGGCCCCAAACCTGCACTTTTTTTGTGTGTGTGTTTGTTTCGATACCGGGGATTGAACTCAGGACCTTGTGCTGTGAGGCAGGCACAGTGTCACTGACCTAAATTCCCGGCCCCAACCTGCACTTTTAAAAGACTGTTTTTCCTCTGGTTGAAACAGAACCATTTTATGCCTAATATTACGTATGAAGGAGATAGGACAGAAAGTTGTGTTATAATGCGATTAACCAGGTACAGAAAAAAACATGGAATTACATAAAATATTCATGATTAGCTTTCTGGCAAGAGGAATGTGGGAATTATTTTTTCCTCCTTTTATACCACTTTGCACTGTATTACTGAATGGACACAGATTGTTTTAATATCAGAAAAATAGAAGTTAAAAACAGACCTTTCACCACTACAGTGCCTGGGCCTGGGGCAGGGTCCTGAGGAGTGAATGGAGGTGCATCCCATGACTGCATTTACACCGAGAGAGACCTTGTGCTAGGGCTGGTGGCCAGCTGGAGTCTTCGGGGCATCAGGTGTGCACAACACCTGCTCTACCAGCGAAGGCGACAAGGTGTGGCTGATGTCCAGTGAAAGCCACTGCTGTCATCAGGAGGGAGGTGGGATTTTACCTGTGAGCAAGGACTTCCCCAGGCCACTGGGTTGCAGGCACACAGCATGGCCGAAGTCACAGAGGGCTGCGCGGTTCCCATCGCTGGACAGGAGCACGTTGTCAGCTGCAGGCGGGCACCCGGCACGGGAGGGAGGGGACAGTGTCATGTGGGCCCAGCCCACTCGGCTCAGTGGGACCTCCAGCGAGGCTATTTTCTGGCTGCTCCTACTTCCCCAGGAAGCACTGCCACTTCACTCTGCTGCCCCACCCTCTACAAGGGTCCAACCACAGTGCCAGGCTGAGCTTGCAGAATGCCGCTCCCTTGCCTGATCCAGCAGGAAGGCACATGGGAGGAGCCTTGGGGACCAGAGCCTCACCTTTGACGTCTCCATGCAGAACCCTTCGTGCGTGCAGGTACTTCAGCCCCTCTAACGCCTGGCCCAGGTAGAAGAGAGCTCGGTCCTCTGGGAGACAGCCCTTCTGCTTTATGAGCTGGCCCAGGGAGCCACCTAGGAGACACAGGCAGGCTGTCCATGGGGCCTGCCCAGCTGTCGCAAGCCAAGGGCAGGGTGAGGGCTGATTGGAGGCCAGCAGGCTTTTCCAGAGGGTGAGTGTGGACTGGCCGGAGAGCAAGGTCACCCTTGGGAAGGCAGAGAGCGAGTGGCACTGGTCCATTACCTTCTAGAAGCTCCATGAAGATGTTGACCCAAGGACCTTCCCTCACTGCGCCATACAGAGGGACAATCTGGGGCAAGCTCAGTCCTGCACATGCTGTCAGCTCTTCCGCCCGGAACACCTCGACCCGCACCTGAAAGGGCCCGGAGGTGGCTTGAGCCAGGGTGAGGGGCTGGGTGCCCACCACACTGCTAGGACCTCAGTGCTCCCTATGCAGGGCTGTGGACGCTCCTGGGACAGTGCGCGGGCTGCACAGGGCCAGGTGTGGCTGTCTTGGTGCTGGGACAAGGCTCACACTTGAGATTCCAGCGCTGACCACGGGCACACAGTCACACATGCCACACTCCTCACAGCCTCCTGGCACGCCGCTGCCCTCAGGTGCCCAGTGCAGGACCTCCTTCCCCAGTCCAGGGTGCTGTGCAGATGAACACCCACAGCTCCTCAGAAGTGGGTTCTCCCCATCTGTCAGGTGCTTCTAGTCCTCAGAAGCCCTTTGGTACTTTTCTTAAAATTGCCTCTTTCCCAGAGGACTAAAATGTCCAGACAGGTCTGAGTTTACATTTACTCTGCCTGCAGCTGTTTCCGCAGAATCTGGGCATAAACATAGTTACTGGGGAGGTTTTGCCTGGGCCATTCCGCCATGGACCAGCAGGCTGGAGAAATCTGCTTTCTGCAAGAACCAGCAGCTTGGCATGGCAGGGGAAGTAGGCCTTGGATACACACATCTTATTAGGCTTGGCCATTTATAATAAGCCTGCATGTGTCCCTTCCAATGTGTTGCCATATGCAAATGGTGGGGACAATGGCATCTGCCCCAGAGTAGCATGTTTGGAAGGGTGCCAGCCAGTGCCACACTGGCCACCAGTGGGCATTTAGGAAGCGCTTGCTCATTTTCTGCTGCCAGGGCGGAGCAGCTGATCACTTAGACTTTTGTAGAGCTCTTGTAGCTTACACTGGCATCACCAGGGCACCAGTAGGAACAGAGCCAACTTGGGAGAGAGGTGTTGGGGACTGGCAGTTGGTTTGGAGACTTGCTGACTGGGCAAGGCTTTTGGACTTTTGCCTATCAGTGGAAAATGTCTCTCTGGTTAGAGAAACTCTGATTTAACAAACTCATATGAACTTTGACTTTATCTGTTTCCAACTCCCAAAGGCACTGACTCTGATGGGACTAATTCACCAACAGCACTTAGGCTGCCAAGGTCTTTAATTTTACCACTCCCAGAGTGTGGGTGAAGCACCTCAGGAGTCCTAGGGGCTCAGTATCTGTGGGAGACAGTGTCAACTGCCTGCTTGAGAGGGGTCAGTTCCAGTGTGTCTAATCGTGCCCATCAGATGGGGCATCTTTAGGGAGCTGTGAAGCTAATGGGGTTGCTATGATTCAAAGTACTTCAGGGGACTGTGGAACAGCAGGTGAAGGTGCTGTCTGGCCTGACTGCAAGACTTGAGAAGCTGTGCCAGGCCTAACAGGGCCTGTGTCCCGTCAGCACTTTGGCTGCTTAGAAATGGAAGGAGATTTTTTTTGCAACTTGGATGTCATGATTTTCAAATAGCTGGTAAATTTCAGAATAGACACTGCTCGGTCTGTGTAATAAATGGAACTGCTAGAGGCTTGGTTGGCCATGAAAAATTGAGATATTCAGGGCTGTGAACCAAGATGGTACGGGGGTCTTTGCTTTAAAACCAAAGAGATCTTTGTCTCAGTGGCACTAAGACAGTCCTAACACCTAGATCAAAGGGGACGGCCTCAAACAACAGGGTGCCGGGGAGGGGGCTGGGCCAGCCTGGAAGCAGGTGGAAGGATGCTGATGAGTCAGGGGAGGGGCTTTGTGCTCAGAGGCAGGACTGGACTGCGACGGGACACTGATGCGGGCTGATGTAGGCCCACTACACAGGCCAGGCCCCGTTTTAACATCTTCTAAGCCTCAATGTGACAGTCTGTGGGTGGTTCCATCATCACCATTTCACACGCAGAAGCGAAGCCTGGATATTAACTCTTCTGAGGTCACTAGCAATGCAGTGCTGCACTAGGTTTGGAGCTAGGGAGCTGTACCCCGGAAGAACTTCCAGGCCTAGTCACTACTAAGGGCACACGTACACACACTCAGGAGGGACATCCCGGTGTGTGTGTGGACAGCGCTCAGCCCACTGCCAGATCCACAAGCCACTTCCCCACTCCCTTTGCCTGCATGCCTGAACAGGGACTACTCTCCCCTCCTTGAAACTCCCACTTGTTTTCTTTTGTATCCTTGTCAGCTTTACTCAATCGGCGAAAAGGGGGATATAAGCAATTTGACCAGTTGAAGACTCCAGGAACATAAATTACAGCCAAGTGACTAACAGGCCTGAGGGTGTAGATGTCCCCTTAACCCATCATCGATAGTCCCTGGTCCTTGTTCTCTTTTCATCCTAAACATGTGTCCAGGTCTGACGGTTGCTGCACCTTCGAGCTGTATAAAAATCGGCCCTCAGTTACAACAGCTCCTTCAGCTCAGCCCTGAGGGCTCCATCTGTGTCCCCAGGCCCTGCACAGAGCCTGGCACAGAGCAGGTCTGTGCTTGGTGACAGCTTGGTCAAGGCTGTACTACCCTTGATTCCAGAACTCCATGCTCGAGTCAGAGACTCTAAATGAGCAGCTCTTAACCCTCTTCAGGCCACAAACTACTTTGAGAACCTGGGAAATGATGTGGACCTTTCCCACCCATCACAAGTGTGTGTGCCCATACACACGACACACATAATCAGGTTCAAGTCGGGGGTCCTCTGAATCGCCCAGGGACGGGGGGAGGACTTACATACTGGCTGGTATATACAACTTACGACCAGTAAGGAACCAGTAAGGAACTCCGTCCATGACACCCACCACATGAAGGATCACAGTACAGAATGATCTCTAGAGTAGATCTTGTTCTTTATAAGAACCACATCTACGGATGTCTAAAAAGTCTAAAAAGATTTAAGTCAAATGGCATTTACCTCTGACAGCAGGATCAGAGAGTAGAGAGACTTGTTTTTTTTTGGGCATCATTTGACTCAAGCTTCTATTTGTTTGTAATTAAGAGTTAAGATCAGCGAAAGCCTTAAAAACCAAACCCAACCAAACCCATCTCCCTTGAACTCTGGTCCTGTGGGCAGGCGACAGGTGATTCAGGCTGAGGGTACTCTGGAATGAAGACCGAGGAGTGCAGCGTCAGCATCGGGGCTTGAGTGTACTCCTGGCAGCCCCCACGTCGGAGGGGCTCGGGCCTGCTCTGGCCCCACGGGAAGCCTGGCTGTTGGTTCAGGTGCCTCATGTGTGCTAGGTGAGTGTTTTACTACGAGGGGTCTTTCTAGCTGAAAAGCCACAGGACCTCCACCCTGCCTGTCCCAACCTCTGCGCTGTAAAGAAGGGCTGTGTTAGCCACTCCACCGGGGTTCCGGAAGAATGAGTGCGGCTGTGTGGGTGCTGGGAAGCCCGTCCTTGTGCATGGACCTTCCTGGTTGTCCTAGGGTGGGAATGGGACTGGAGTGTGCTCTCCCTACTGCGTTAGGGTTGTTTACCTTGTTGCCTGGGACTTGAGGGCCTCGGCAGAGGGACAGCTGAGAGCCAGTGACTAAGCTCTGCGCACGGGGTACCTATTCTCACCCTTCCCCGAAAGGACAGCTGAGCCTTCTCTGGCTGGGAAGGGAACCGCTGCTGAGGCCAGGCACGTGGAAAAGGATGGTTTATGCTCTTGAGAATTCAGTGTCTCTGCCACCGGGGGCAGAGGGTGGTGCTGTCACTGGACAGTCTGTGTAAATTCTGGGTAACACACAGGCCACCTTGTCACCCCCACCCTGAGTAGTGCAAGAGCCTGGCTGTGCACAAACTAGGAGCGGCTGATTCACCCCTGGCCACAGCCCCTACAGTGGCACTGCTGGCATTTGCTCCATGTGGGCTGCTGTGCTGGGCTTGTCTGGACGCTGCCACTTGTACCTGGATTCCTTCTGGGGATCAATATCTTTGACATAAGCAATGAAACAATGTCTCTGAGCTTATTCACTGGGTCCATGAACCAACACAATTATTCATCAAAGTGCTTCTGGGATGCTGAGTGTGGGCTGGGGACAAGGTGGCTTTCACCTGACAGGGGCTAGGGTGGGAGAAGAGCTGCTCCAGGAGCAGGGCCAACTCTGCAGTGTAGTTCTCACCTGGCTCTGGGCAAGTCATGGCGGGGGACACCTCTGCCACGACTGAAACCCCAGGACCACGAGCCACCCCTTTCCTCCTCCTCTTCCAGAAGAGAGGCTCAAGGCTGCATGGTAGAAGGGATGAGCCTGGGTCCGAACCCCAAGCTGCTTTCCCCTGCTGCCTGGAGGCAGGGCTTGAACTCAGCATCTCCTGGCTCCCTGTGTCCACCCTCTAAGCACTCTGGGTTGTGGTGCAGGGTGGCTTCACTGGGTGGCCTGAGGGTCGCAGTCCACACAGGTTTCACAAGGGTAGACTGGGTCCTGGACTTGTCTCTGGAATCTGACCCTATAGGCCCTGGGGGCAGAAGAAGCCTGGGTGGGTTGGACTCTGAAGCCAGGTACTCATGCACATGCACACCAAGGACAGAGGCTGGCATGGGATCACACTGCCCTGCACTCCAGACGATGCAGGCTGATACCACATCAGACCCATGGCTACCCAGGATGTTCTTGAAAGAGCAGAAAGAGTGCAGTGGTCCCCAAAGCCCTGCCCACCTCCTGGCCCACCTTTTTGACGGCACACTGAAAACCTGTCTGCTTGTCCCTCATCCTGTGGACCTCTCCAAAGGAGCCTCTGCCCAGGCGGGGTTGGTGTGTATCCCAGTGCACCTCTTCTCGGTACTCGTAATCCACTGGCTTGAGTTTCTGGATGGCAGAGGGAGAGGGGGAGGGGAGG